AATAATAAAATTTAAATAAATCATAAGCATAAATTATAATTATTGAATTAAAATATATTTATCTTCCCTATTGTAAAATATTGCTCAATATTATTATTTAAAATTTTTGTAGATTTTTCTTATATTTATGTAAATTATTATTATTTTATTATTTTTATTAAATTAATATAAATTAAACTAATTAAATTTTTGACAACAGTATTTTTTTTTCTTGTATTCAATGATTTTTATATTTTTTTATGTTCAATATTAGATAAATATTTTATAAAATAATTTAAGAAAATTATAATATAATCGAAGATATAATTTATATATAATAGATATAATTTTAAAAAATAACTTTAAATTCGGATTAATAGTAGTTGTTTCAATAAGATTAGGATGTGCATATTTACAAATATTCTCTAGGGCAATTTTAGAGAATGTTATATGGATGAAAGTCTATATCAAGAAACATGAATGAAACGGAATGCGTGCTGGTTATCGTGACGACCTGTGACAGTCTTCGTGACCTCGTTGGATTCTCAATCACATGCACCAGCGTCTTAAATACACGTGTTGTGTATACCGTGATTAAATTATTTCTATGTGAATTTCTATCTCTTTTTATTATATAATTATTAAAAGATTAAATTTAATAATTAATAATAAATTATTAATTATTAATTTTAATTAAATTTCAAAATTTAATCCTAATAGAAATAGATACTCAGATAATTAATAATGAATATATCTATAAAAATTTAATCCTATTTTTTAACAAAAATATAATTATATTTTTTGTTCATTTATATATCTGAATCATAATCATCAATAATCATATATATATTTTCATATTCTTTTCTTTTTATACAATTATAATTTAATTCATAAATATTGGAATTTATCATTTAATGAACGATTTGCAAAATTATTTAATTAATTAATAAATTAAACGATTCAAATATTTTCTATTAACTAAAGCAATGCGATCTAATTTAGAATAAATAATATATATATATTGAAAAAGCAAATAAGTGAAATCCTTTATTAACAGGTATAATAATAATTCCTTTTAATTTGATAATGTTTGATTTTCAGTAAGCGGAAGAACAGGTGGTGGTGGAGGCGGTGGTGCGCCTCTTTACGGTCGTCTAGTAGCTGAGGAGCCATTACCTCCCACAGTATGTGGGGGTACCGGTACCGGTGGCGGTACTGGTGGGGTCCCACAAGAAACCCCCGCGGATATACACGCCATGCAAGCCAGGATACCTCATAGATTTCGTGATCCAGCCACAGCACCTCTTAGGAAACTTAGTGTAGATCTCATCAAAACTTACAAGCACATCAACGAGGTGAAAGATTCTTTTTATTTTATAAATTATCTATTATTTTGATTATACAATAGAACTCCATTGAAACAAAATTTTAATTTAATTTTTTTTAAAAATTTGAATTATTTATCTTTTAATATGTTCAAATAAATTGAATTCTGGTGTATTTATTTGATAATTATTCAAAGTAAGAGGATTTTCAATGATTTTGTTTTGAATATATGGTAAAGGAAATTTTTAATAATTTTTTTTCCATGTTATCACCACTCGGCTTTAATTTTTGAGATACTTGCAAAAAAAAAGATTATTATTATTCATAAAAATTTTTTTATACATATATATATACATACAATGTATATACACATATACATATGTAATCCATAACTGTTTATCATGTATTTATTATCTTTATAAAATTTTTATAAAAATACAGCGGGCAAAATGTATAATGGATCATCAAAGAGTATCAAAAATTTATTTATTGATAAATTATGTTGGATTTAAAATGTCAGAAATCCAATGCCGAATCCGCAGAATACAAAAATAAAATAATAAAACAATATAAAATAAAAAAATTATATAAAAGCAAAATTACAATGATCAAAGTTATAAATATCAATATACACGCCATCAAATATCAAAATCATTTTTGATGTTTATAACTTTATCATTTTTAATTTAATCATTATGTAATTTCAATCTTTATAATTTCGCCCAAAGATTGTTTTATATTTTATTTTAAAGATTCGTGAAATTTAATCAAATCTAATCTAAGTTTGATATTGGATTTGAAACATTTTAAATCCATTATAAATCCATGGACAAAGATTACTCTTTGTAGGTTTTAGTTGCTACTATTATGTATTTAGAACTAATAGAAACTAATAAAAAATAAATTCGATACTCGCAATTGTATACTTATACATATGCAGTTACGGACATATAAAAAAAATTCTATATAATGGTAGCAATTTTTTTTTATAAATATAATTGAAAAGTAAAGTTGAATGGTAGTTATATGCAAAAAAATTATTTAAAATGATTTCTACATCCAAAAAATTATTAAAATCAATAAGAAGCTTCCTATTTTAAATTATTACCATTTTTATTTTATAAAAATAATTATATTACTATTCTCTTTATATTCATTACTATTCTCTTTATAGAATTATTAATTTATCTTTTCTCTTCTTAAATTTTTATTTATATTTATTCATAATATATTAAGTTGATATATTGAATTGAATATTAAATGTAAATGGTTGAATATGTAATTTCTAAAAAATTATATTATTTACATAGCTATAAATAAATTTCATTTAATAAATAGCAAGAAAATAAATATAGAAATAAAAGTATTTAAAAAATGAATTTAATGAAAAATAAAAATAATTTATTATTTTTTAAGACTTTCAATATTATACATTAAATTTTATCTATAAAAACATAACCGATATAATCGTTTTGTAGTGTCGATCTCAATTTAGGCTATTCCATATAAAATTTTCAGCTGTTTCCATGAAAAATTGTAAATATTAATGATCCCTTTACTGGGACCGTCTTTAAATTCTAATCTAATTTCATTCAATACGATTGTTTCTATTCGAAGCATTACCAAAACATTTATTAATTTTTACTATTACACGCCATTTGTTTTTATTTACAAATTGATTTTTTCTTCTCGCTCATATTTAATGTTATATTTAGTATTTGATAACTTAAATATATTTAATTTCTTGAAAATGACTGATCAGAACTTTTTAATTGTAGAAATGGATTATGAAACAATCTAGATATGAGATTGATATAACTAGATATTATTCATTATTCGATACTCATTGACGACTACTGTATGAACTGTTGCATTAATAACATCTACATCAGCAATTAATATATTAATAATATATAACTTTCAATATATAATATTGAAAGTTTTTATTAACATTTCAAAGACTAAAAATAAATATATGAAGCTAAAATCTAAAATTCTTATCAGTTTTTCAAATTTGCAAGTGAATTTTTCGAAATTATATCAATAATAATTTAACTAAATAATAAAAAAAAAATTAAGATTCTACAAAGAAAAAAAAAGTTAAAATTAATAATAATAATAAGATCTATGATTGAAGAATAAGTAATATTTATCAAAATATTTATTAAATATT